AATTAATTTTTGACAAAGGCGAAGTCTTCTTTGCAAAAAATATCCCAGCTGCACATTCTGTAGAAGAGCGGTGCAAAACATTTTGATCCATCGCGCTAATTGTATCCCTCTTATACGCGCAATTAGCAACGTACTACGAAGCTTCTCGGTAGAAAATTTAAAGCGACAATTATTTTGTAAGGAAATTATGAGGTTCTTTTAGTCAAAATTCTTGAAGTATCATTTCCTGTTATTTCTTATTCCTTATCCCTTCGCTGCTCTCCGAGTCTCCGGTGCCGCCCATGCAAATCGTCTTACGATAAGTAAATGCATTTTACGGTGATGCATGACTAGTAAGCGTAGCATTCAAACATCGCTCGCATAAGTCCATCGGTATGTGTTGTTATTGGTTATTGCTTATCTCTTTGGACTTCGAACCAAAAAAATTGTTAAAGCAATACCAGGCTGGGAATGATAAAGCTGGATATGCCTGAGGTCTGCTAATATGTGAGCAATATTCGCAGCGCAACTGATCTGTATCCGCTAGGCAAATGCAACCGCCAGCGTGTTTCCACCGTATCTGCTGCTGTTACTGTGCAGCTATGATCTTTCACCGTGATTTTCGTTCGAGGATTACGGCCCGGCGATCTAGGAGGAGGCGGCAATGTACCAGTGGCGCAGTTCGTCATCCCGGGCATAGTGGGCGTTCAGAATCTGCGTGCCCGAAAACCGGTCATACGCAAAGGCAAACGAGTATATTAGGCCTTTATTTCCTCCGGGTGATTGTCCGTAGACCGGGACGTACTAGATAGTCGATGTTAACCTGACTCTTGCTTTCCGGACGGACAAACAGGAAGTTTTACTGCAGTTTCAGCCAGTCTTAGACTCGTTGTATTGATTGTTGGTTATAAATCGAGGTGGCACCCGACTCTCGATCAGTCGCTCCGCGGTGTTCTTTTCCGTTTCGAACAGTCGTCTTCTTTCTGGAAATATTGGGCGACCTTTTCCGTGACCTCATGGTTATGGTCTTCTAAAGCCGGCAGGTGAATGACCTCCATCATGCCATCCACAGGCTTTAAGCGGACCACTGCTTGGTAGTTACTTTTTAGAGTTGTCGTAATGCTTTTCTTTATGGGAACTGAAGCCCACCGGTGCGGGCGGTAAGCGCCAGCTTTCTTGCAGACCAGCTTCACTGTGCTGTAGGCGAGTGTAGGGGAACGTGTCATGAAGCGAGTGCGTCTTTGACGTATTGGCATTGCCGCCAGGATTTATAAAGACTTGATGTGCTCGTTTCCTCCATTGCCCCGCCGCTCTCAAAAACTTCGCGTCCGATTCATATCTATTTCCCACTTTAAGTTCTGACGCCATTACGGCATAGACTTGTGAAAACTCGAATTATTAGAAATTTTAAACGCCGGTACGGTCAGATTTTGTATTTCTTTCACTAAAATGTGACCTTCCCGTAACTATTAGTTGCCATATCGTAATAAACAGATTCAAGCATTTTGTTAGTAATTTTTTGGGCAGGGAAAAACTCTCGCGCGCAGCCAAAACTCATAGCGCGGGAGGCTCTCGCGCGTAGCCATTTCGAAATAAATTATATTTAAATTATAACTATAATAATAATATAGCTATTGGGGAATAATAAATTTAAGTATTGTTTCCTCCGTTTTATTTCGTTTCGGCTGGCATAGATTTGGTTACAGCATTCCATTTTCGCCAAGGTAGACATTTTGACGTAGACATTCAAAACGTAGACATTCTGACCATGGGAAAAAATCCGGCTCACGCTTCGACATGGGCAGTAGCCAAGCAATCAGTGCTGTTTTCGAATTACAATTATATCGTGTTTCTTATGCTGCCTGATGTTTTCTTATGTTCGGATGGTCGAAATGACAGGACGTCGTTTCTTGTTACTTATCGTTATTACTTGTATCTAAGCTGCACGAGGCTTTGGCTGCCTGAATCTTAGGTTGCCCACCGGCCAGCTGCTTGCACATGTATTGTTTAAGAAGTGTAATAATTAACTGCTGAATGCCCCGGACAGGACAGATTGATGGTGCAAATAAATATTGGTGTTAACATCATTTAATCGGGGAGCCAAATTAAAACAGCTTTGCGGTACATCATTTTTTAGCATGGTTCTTTAATAAACGAGTGCACATACTAAGTTTGTAACATTTGTGGTTACTGTAAAATACGGTAAACCTTCGCCTATGTTTTGAGTGAAGATTTTTAAAACTGGTTAAAAAAGTACAATAACGAGGTTCGTTCGAAAACAGAAAATAGTAAAGTAATTTTTCAGTCTTTTGCAAGACCGGTTACGATTTTAAGCAGTGCTCCCCGTCCAAATTTTTTCAAGTACCCACTTTCCCGGAATTCTAAAAGGGCACGTCTCCCATGTCACCCATCCTACATTCAGTTTCCTATATTTTGGTTCAGAGACGAAAAAAAGATGTTGCTTATTCACAACTTTACAGAGAATGAGGATATTAAATTTTCGGCACTGTGCATTCTTTATATACAGAGAGATCCATTCAGTCTGATTCAGGTTTAAAATCAGTCCACAGCCGTAGTACAGCAAACACACTTAGCACAGTGCGCATACAGAGGTACAACCGCACGCTCTGCAGTAAGTCGGAACCAAAAATTCGCCGTTGTATGTTGTAACAGCGGTGACACAATGAGCATACTGTAGCGCCCGCAGGATGAAGTTTTACCACAGAATCTGGTGTGTTACACATAGAAACGCATTCGCATAATTATGATGCAGTAGAAAAATCCCGATTTGGATGCCTCCTACCATTGCATTTAATTTTTGCCCGTGCCAATATTAGCATCAGGTGCGATGGGAGAACCCCCCGGCCCCCAGGGGCCAAATAAATTTCAGGGAAGGTAAAAAAAAACTATACCATGCAAGCAATGCAATCAATTATCGTACGGTTCGTACCTTCTTATCAACGGTCACAGGTTGCTATGTAACGTACGATGCGCAGTACAGCACTGCAGTACGAAACTCCTGCGCATAGCCACTTCGCTACATCGTTTGCTGTAACCGTTTGAAATTAAGACCCGTTTCTTATACGCTTTCTTACGACTGGCCCTACCGTATACGGTAAGACCGCATATATATAATGCGGTCTGCCACCTAGTAGAATACACAGACATCCACTGCCAGGAACACCCCAGGGGTCCGTACAGTACCACCTGCCTGTATATACAGTACCACCTGCCTATAATTAACTTTTTAATTACTTTTAATTAAATTAAACAATAGAGTACAGTAATTTACATTAATTTCATTAAGTTACGTAATTCATTAGTGGAAACAATAGTTAATTTTCATTTTTTCTAATTAACGAGTTAAAAAATACGAGTATAAATGAAAAGATGCGGCGAGTACAGTAATTTTAATGAAAAATTTGCACTCTTTTATCCTTGTCACCAAAAACATGAAAGATGAACCCCGTACCACTTCCGCAATGGATCATATGCAATAACAATGTTCGCTACATGCAACAATTTTATCCCAAAGTAACATCCCCGTGCCACGCATACAACATTTAACCCCGGTACCGCTCGCATAACTAAAACAACAAATCATCCCTGTCACCACGCGCACAACAAAACACATGACATGACCACAACCGATGCATTAACAAATAGCAATGATGAATCCGCATATCCACGCTCCGACCCACGTATGTACCTGCAAATATACGAGTATTATGTACACATAATAAATACAAGTGTGAACAATATTTCTTTAAAGTACATTGCACTACAGCTTGCGTCTGCCACCACGGTTCTTGTTCGGGTGCATATCCACAATCGGACGCTGCACAACGCATCCATTCGGTGCGACAAAGCCACCCAACAGTTGAGGCGCTGGCTGCTGAACAGGACCGACAGCGACATCACGTCCACGCTCCCGCATAAATGCCATATCAGAACTGTGTCCTCCCAGCGCATCCAGCCATGGGGTTGCACTTCGTGGCGCTCAAATACATAAAATCACAGTTATACAGATAAATGTTTGCTAAGTACTGTAGTTGTGTAGTATGTACCAGGAGCTGTTTGGGCAAGTGCGGAAGCCGGCAGGCTCGGATTCACTCCATTAGGACGTCCCAAGCAAATGCGCTTGGCGCCACCCGTGCCACGACGACGAACTAAACAAAGTCCAAAATTTAACGTTATGTACGAGCACACACCATTACAAGAATTGAAAATACAGTACCTGGTTGAACAGAGCGTGCTGGGATGGACTCGGTGACTGCGCACAGGCTGGTGAAGCTGGTCGTGTACTGTGGGATCCACGCATTCCACGTGGTGCTCGACCACGCCGTCCTCCACGTGAGCATACAGCAGTACCTGGTTGAACAGAGCGTGCTGGGGATGGACTCGGTGACTGCGCACGGGCTGGTGGAGCTGGTCGTGTACTGTGGGATCCACGCATTCCACGTGGTGCTCGACCACGCCGTCCTCCACGTGAGCATACAGCAGTTCCCATGTTCGTAAGGGAGACCGAGTGCTCTGCACCTTCATGCCCGACAATTCGCGCGCTTAACCAGTTGCTTTTGGCAGCAACGGAGCCGCGAGCATTTGCCGCTAAACATAAGGACATGTAGAGATGTACATAATTATTGTAAAATACGTTTCTTACCGGTTGGTCCCGATGCTTCTTCAGGTTCAGCAGTCGCTGGTGCCGGTGGAAGCACTCGTACAGGTACGGCAACACGCTTGCCAAGAATAGCGGTCCCGCGGATGGAGCCGGCGCCACGTTTATCTATAACAGTAACTTCAAAATAACATTAGTACTTAATACAAAACAGTACTTACGTTGAGTCGGGGCCGGTGGTGCCTGCATCGGGTGTCACTCTCATCGTCCGAAGACGATTCCATCACCATGGGACGCTTTCCTGCACGTCGAACCACTACGGGCAGTGCAGCCGACAACGCAGAACGCTCGGGACTGGAACCTGACACGGGAATACGTCCCAACAGTAGTTCCTCCAGGTACTCTAGGAACTGGTCCAACGTGCCATGGGGTTAAATTCCTTAATATTCAGCCAGTTTTCACCCCGCGCATACTGTGCCAGAGCCGTGTCTTCACGCCGCAAAGTTTTCCGCTTGGCATGTGCGGCACACGCTGCTCCTTTCGTCAAGCACTCGATTACGAAGCGCTCGGCCACTTCCTGTAGTAGACCAAGTGCTCCAACTTGCATGCGCATTTCTGGATTCCTCGTCCAGGTGAGCACACGCACAACGCGTTGGAATGCTAGCCGCGGCAAAAACTTCTACAGGGTTCATTTGGCGATACTTGTCACGTAATGCAGCACGACCGAGCCGTTTCGTCACAATGCGCGATGGATCCGGGCGGCGAGTGGAGCGGTCGCGTGGGTCGGCACTAGCACCGATCTGCGGAACAGGGTCCGGGTCTGCGCTTGGTTCAACCCGGATGATCCGTGAAGGCGTCCAACTCGTACTCATCATCGTGCGCCTCCGCTCGGCGCGGCTATCTGCCACGTCTGACTGGTGATCAAGGTGCAGTTCTTCTGCCTCTGGCCCAACGTAAATGCACGCACCCATCAGTCTGATTGCAGCCATCTGGGTACTAAAAGATAAAAATTAAGGTAGTTATCAATATTTGCACCAGATACTGTTAACTTTATAGCACATACTCGTGTGAAAATTCAGCAGCATTAAAACCAATTTTAGGAACACGATCACCCGCTGAAAACTCAACGCGATGCACTGGATCAAACGGCAGCGGAGGTGAAGGCGTGCGCACATGCTGCTCGGGAGGCAGCTGTCGGACTGGGGTCGGTGGTCGAATGCTTACGCTCTCTTCATTGGAAGACGAGTCACTCTCTCCGATATCAGACGTCAACGGTTTACCACTCTTACGATAACGCACACGTTCCGGAGACGATGGGGGTGTGGTACGAGGCAGCCCGGTTGAGACGGGAAGCTGCTCCGGGGTCTCCATGGAATCATCCATCTTCAACAAAACAGAGATTAATGCGTCAATAACAAAGAAAATGCGTCGAATACTGCTCTGAAGTATCCTAGATTATAATTTCTATGTATAAATACAGTACATATGAATAACGTAAAATTTCGATTTTAGTATGCAACTTGAGCTACGAACAGAAGACCAGAACGTAATGCCAACCAAAATCGAATTTTTATTATTTCGTAAAAATCCGGACAGTAACAATGTCTTTACACCTCAGAATACGTCGCTATCGCAGTAAAATGCACCGAATACTGCATCCTACATTACAACCTATGTATAAGTACAGTACATATGAATAATGTAAAATTTCGATTTTAGTATGCAACTTGATCTACGAACACAATACCAGAACGTGATGCCAACCAAAATCGAATTTTTATTATTTCGTAAAAATCCGTACAGTAACAATGTCTTTACACCTCAGAATACGTCGCTATCGCAGTAAAATGCACCGAATACTGCATCCTACATTACAACCTATGTATAAGTACAGTACATATGAATAATGTAAAATTTCGATTTTAGTATGCAACTTGATCTACGAACACTAGACCAGAACGTAATGCCAACCAAAATCGAAGTTTTATTATTTCGTAAAAATCTGTACAGTAATTAGTTTTTTACACCGCAGAACGTAACATATCACAAAACAGAAGATCACATTATCAAAATGGAAGAGCAGACATCAAAGATTCAAACTACAGAATCTGTACAGAAACAAGTATGTACAAAATCAGAATTAATTTGTACAAAAGCATATGTACAGTAATTACAGGTCGGTATGCTCATTAACCACCGACATTTCGGTACTCTCGGTACTGATAGCGTGGGCTACAGGAGCCACGGCGCACCGGCGTCGAAAGAACATTACGGCACTTGAAATTGCCGCCGCTGCAACGATTACACCGATAATGGCGTAGACCACGTTGGGGCGTTGACTGCGGAGTCATGATCCTCGGGTGCTGGCGTTGTCAGTAGCATTGAGGCTTATCCGCTGGGCTCGACGCTGTCCCGGTGGGCGATATACCCGTGCCCATGTCCGTGGTGTTCAGCGGAACCTTTGGCGTGGCTGTGAAGGAACACGGCCGCAGTCTGACAAGACCGTAAAGTTAACGGTCGACGGTTCCGTACACTCTAGAACCGGATTGCCACGTGCGTCGAAAAGGCGGAGTCGCGGAAAATACCGGCTGAGTGCAGCATACGGAACACCGTACAGACGGTTGCTCTGAAACAGGATAACCTGCACCCACTGTTCCGGGCTGCGCGGGGTAGGCACTGTAGTCAAATCCCCCCCCCCACAGTTCATCACGCCTTCGATGCGCTCGCACTGACAGTGATTCAGACAGCGCGACCATACACCGTGCGCGCTACTGACCACTGACAGCAAGAGCAATACTTGCAGTAGGCGTTCCATCTGCAACAAAACATTCAGTCAGCAGTAAAGTAACTTTGAATGCACATTCAGACAAAACACACGCACACACACATTGGACTCGGACACACGTTCACTTACCTCCTCACATATACGTACACATACAGTACTTTTGCCGATTTACCGTGCCACTGCGGACACTTTTGCCGTTATTTTCACGCGAGTTTAAAAATGTCTTTAGAAAACGCCGCTAACGCTCTGTTTCCCGTCGGAACTGGGGAACGCATGATGAAGAACGGAGTCGTATACTACAGTACTGTTCAACAGGACGACGTTCTTATGCTACAGGGTGTCTATCGTGATTTGGTGGCACGTTTCGAAGACGCCCAGAAGTACTATCCCGATCTCACAATCGGTGTTAGAGTGCAGTTTGTGAAGGAAACCTGGTTCCATCAACAACCGCTTGAGAAGTAGCATTTGCACTATATCCAAAAGAGGAAAAAGGCACTAATATCGCCTTCCGAGAGAATCCAACAAAATGTACCGAAGAAAATTGGAAAGAATGGCGCCCTATTGTTCGCGATTTGGCACACGGTCGTATGCGAAATTATCTAAAGTACCAAGTGAAAAATGGCGCAAAGCCTGCCTGAGTGCCGGCTACCGCATCCAACAGGTTATTACTTTTGAATGTCCCGACGGAGCGGTGTTAAAGCTTGAATGAAACATGCACTGGTGTATGTGACGCCGATGATGACATCGGACCTCCCGCACCAAAATTTGATTATTTCTAACAACGCGTGGACAAGTTCGAAAAGCTGAAGAAACTGGAACAGGGACGTGTTCCGTTCACTCAACCAGACGACCTGGGGGAAGAAAAACGGGACACTATTGCAGGGTTTACACCACCGGTATATCCGTCTTGGGGCGACGAGTTTGACGGAAAGCCAGCTGACTTACTCATTTTTGACGATGCCAACTGATCCACCACGAGTGGTAAGTTTTTGTTGTGTAAATTCAGTTTGAAATTTCCGGTTTGAAATCAAATTTTTAATTTTGAAATTTTTTGATCCATAGAAACCATGGACCCTGAAACGCCACCACCGATTCCCGTAGAGGAAAAGAACCTCGCGGGGAATACTCATTTGGGCTCTATTTTACGCCATACCGTTTGTGTTTTCTCAACTTTTCCGCTTAGGTGCTGTCATTGTATTAAGAGTTACTGATCGATTTCCTATCCACAACATCATTATGCCTCTGATTTCGTTTGTTTTAAATGAATCACGTCGTTTGCTACTCGGACGTAATAATGGAAGTGCAGTTGAATGATGTGTTTTATCACCCAACTTCTATGTTAATCAGTGGGAATTCTGGTTCTGGTAAAACCACGTTTGTGGCAAATATTCTCCGATTTATTAAACTCTCGCAAGTTCCGGAACGGGTTTATTGGTTTTATAAGCACTATCAGTCCTTATACGATCAACTTGTAAAGGAAGGATTTCCAATTACTTTTATCGAAGGTTTGCCAGAAGAAATTTCAAAGCCGAATTTTTTTGATAAAAAACAAGTTAATGTTTGCCATTCCAATACAACGGTCATCTATCTGACACAAAATCTGTTTTTTAAGCAGAGTTTTGGTCGAGATATACGGCTAAACGCCAAAGTCATTGTTTGTTTTAAAAATCCTCAGGACCGACAGCAACTACAAATCTTAGGACGCCAACTTTTTCCTAATAAACTTAATTATTTCATGGAAGCCGTCACGGCCGCTTTTGAGAAGCCTTTTGGTTATATTGTAATTGATTTGCAACACAATATAAGCGATCGATATCGGCTGAAATCGTCGATCTTCGGAGAGAACTTTCCTGGCTATACCGAAGTTTATCTACCGGCATAATGGAGCGAAGTAAAACCGTTTCCAATATTGATTTATTGTCATCAATAGCTAAGAGCAAGCCGAAACTTGCGAAAGCGATTATTAAAAATTCGGAAGACACTTTGATTGATGCCATTTCTGAATGTGCTCTCCAGATTGTTGAAGGCACGGTTCCCGTTTCTGAATCATCGAAAGCTCAACGAGTTCGACGTTTATTGCCCTATTTAAAGTTATTGTCTAAAAAGTCTGTGTCCAGAAAAACTAAACGAAGTTTTCTGTTAGCAAAAGGCTTTGCTTTATTGTCTTTAATCCTGCCTCCTGTGCTTAATTTTGTTTTGGGAAACGCTTGAAAATGGCACGACGAATGTTTTGTTAAATGAAGAACAGCTACGTGCTGTCAGGAAACTCGAAGCCTGTCTCCGTGCCTGTACAGCCTACACATGCTCATCTGGACTATTATGCGAGTCCATTGACCAAGTCATACCGAGATATGACAAACTCACTGCAGAATCCGACAATGACTAGCAGACAGCGTTTAAATGCCCATAGCGACGCGATGGAATGGTACAACAATTATATAGGACAGGCTACACTGCCTATGCAGCAGCATCCAGCGCAGCATCCTTTCGACGAAACTGATGCTGCAACGCATGGTAGCGATAAGTCCACAGATAGAGTGGTTTTTCTACTACCAGAGAAGCAACAGAACAACGCACGCCATTTGCTAACGCACTTACAAGAGTACGGTCATTTTTCAATTGGGAAAAACCTGGAACTTGCAGTAAACGGGATTTTGAAAAACGGTACGAACGTTGTGGATTTAATCCGTTGGCTAACTACACCTACAAATCCAGGACCTTCACAAACTCCTCCAAATGGAATAGAAGAAGTATTCGAGGCAATGAAAAGTTGCAATGCGCCGGCTACGTTATTGCCGAATATGCAGCGTCGTAGAGCATATTTAGATTTTGAACTTTCCGATTTTTCTTTTAATACGCCAGAACGAAACAGCAGTGGCAAACGAAGAAGCAAAGCCACCCCAGTTACGGTTCGAAAAAACTGGAAACATTTTTGGTTAAATTATCAAAATTTCGATTTTGGTGTGCATCTATGTTAACAAAGCAACTCTGTTGATTGTATTGCCTACCAAAATCGAATTTTTCCGAGATATGCAAACTGTCGTGTGTGTTCAAGTGTTTAAGAGTCAAATAAATTCCGGAACCAAACGACGTTCTTTTCCGCATTTTAATAGATAACCTTATACATAGGCAGAGAATATTGCTGCTTTTTCGGCATATGCTTCAAACATTTTCGAGGGTTTTACACACATGCAATTTCCTCTTAGCAAAAGCATACAGCATTTTATCATTGAATTGCAGTCTTTTGGGGTATTCAAACTTATTTACAATTTCACGTAACGTAAGACCGCGACAAGAGTAATAAAGAAAAATACAGAGAAGAGACCACAAAGTTTAGACCGAGGATGTTGAGTTGGATCCGATTTTCCTGATAATGTCCATTGGTAGCCGGAAAATTTTCCGAGATAAATTTGTCAAACTCCATGCCGTAAAATAAAGAAGACTTACCAAAAGAATCAAAGAAAACGACATTTTTACTGTTCTTAGCAAATATAGCTAGCCAGTGCTGTCCGGGTTCCGCGTGCTTGTCCGAGTTCACAATCAGTGCGAGCGGAAATTTTGGACTGGACACGGTTGGTAGCGTGTCTCGTGAGAACACTCGAGGAATATTCTCTGAAGACAGCTATCGTGCTGCACGATATCTAGAAGCTTGATATTGTTCATGTTTAAGCACGTTTGTATGGGTAATAAACGTTCCGTCGTGCGTCAATTTCTACGAGGGCGTTCTTATTGAAATAGACCAATACGGAAAGAGTGGCAGTCGTTTGAGCCGAAAAGATAAGGACAATCCTAGAACTCCTTTTTCGTAGGATTTATGCACGTGTGGTCTCCAATATCAGGTTCAAGGTTAAAACCGAAAATTGCATAACCTTTGGCCCAATCTTTTTGATCAAACGCCAGTGTTGAGTTCTTGTAAATCATACCAGTTGTTTCCAAGAGGCTCAGGTACCCGTCGCGTGTGTTTGTAGCTGAAACCTCTAAGGCTTTCCCAGGAAACGGTTCGGAATTGACATAAGTGATAATCTGGCTCAGTTCATAGGGCTGAAAATTATACGGGTTGCGAGTTAAGTTTCCTCCAACGGCCTCCGACAAAACTAGAGCAACGAAAAGTTGCTTAGGATGACTCCCGAAATAAGTCGTCGCGAGACCAATGATTGCTTCCAGATGGGATGGTCATCTCGAGAACATGTGACTCCACGTAAGGAATCATTACATTTCGTTTTGAAGCATAATCTCATGAGCCAACAAAACTCAGGGTCCAGCTTGACTTTGCGCAGTTTAAGCGTTGCCCGTTTTATGACAATTTTCAAATCAAGTGGCGCTTGAGGACAAAGCAACGCAAACTTGTCTTTAGATCGTGCCAATACTAATTTCAAGTCCACTTTAGGTGGAATAAGACGTGATTGGTTCGCTAAGTCACTAGGAAATTTCATAAATAAATGCCATGAATTTCCGCCCTCGATCATGCCACGGCGCGTAAGGAACCCATCATTCAAAACTAGATTGTTTGGATTAGCTGCAGGCAGTGTAATATAATTCACGTCAAAGCTTCCGGCAGTGTCCAAAACAAAACCAGAGCTTAACAGCTGTGTTCGACCTTCAGAGCCAAAATTCAATAGGTTTTCGAAGTAGGATGAGTAATGTGATAAGGAAGGAACAGATGAAACAGTCTCACTGTTTAATAAAAGTTCATGTCCGCTAAATAGGCTACGTGTAAAGTTGTTAACGACGCCCCAGTTCAAATCAGCGGCAGGAGCGGCTCCTGCAGTTGTTAAAACAGTTACATCCAGTAAAATAGTGCTGTTTGCTAGATCTATCATTTCCTCTGGGGTTCCCGGAACCTCCCAAGCAATCGTATCCACGTTCAAAGTATTTCCTATTGGATTATAGGAAACATACTTCGCGGATTCGATTGCCGTTTGAGTAGGCGGCAAAGAAAAATGGTCCAATTCCGATTTTAAACACAAAGGTGTATTAGCATCCATTCTCGTGAGAGTTAGCGTAATAATCCCGAAAGCGGAACGCGCATACGCTTCTTCTTGCGCAAACGTTAGTTTGCGATGCGGTTTAGCAGTTTATTATGTGTTGTGTAATATAGGGCAAAGTGCGATGCAATTGACGCAGTATTTGCAACAGAAGAACAGCGTCCTCACCTTGCCGTTCTATCCGCAGAAGATCGTCCACGCTCGCTTTCGCTGGGTCATTCATGCGCCTAACGCTAAGGTACACACACAGGCGCAGTGCGGTGGCTTGAAAAAAATGATTCCGTATGCCCGTTACTGCCCGTTTACACGGTATTTCATATTCTTTGCAAGTTCTTGCATGTTGTCAATATTGTTACAGAAATTGTTTTGTTCTGTAGATATATATGCCGAAAAAAAATGTTTTTTTTCTCACACGAATGTCGCCTCGTTTGCAGAGGATGGTTTTCTGTGAGTTTTCATGCATGTGCCCAGTAACTAGACAATCCATAAACAGCATAGTCTGCGAAAGCGCGCTGTGTAAAAAGTGCCGGGATAAGTATTGGTTTCTATGGGCCGACGATGCCTTCCCGGCGTAGCTTAGGCGTACGGCACCCAACCGCTACATTGCGCCATCCCGGCGAGAAGTAGAATCAACAAGTTGGGGATTGCAACTCTCTGTTGCAGGAGGCAGTGTCCGACGGGTGGCTACCCAAACAAAAGGGAAAACAAAATCAGGTCCCAACGTACCTGACTTTATATTTCCTGTTGTTTTGATAGTCAGCTCCTGGCCTTTGAACTCTGAACGCCCAAAGTAGACCTTCTGGTACGTACCTGTCAACGCTCAGTTAGTGCCCATCACACGGCTGATCGATCACGTGCTAAGCAGTATTCCGATTTGTATTGCGAATTCCGTCTTGCCAGACGGAATATGCAAAACAAGTCGGAATTCCCAAATGGCGAGGTAGTGGGTAAGTCAATACAGGCCGGTACCCTTATAAACTTGGTCTTTGCCAGGTCACCCGCTATTCGATGCTTAGATCCAGTTCGCATCGTCCAGTGGAGCAGTGCCGTCGTTGCAAGAGCGATATGCATAACGCTCTTTCTATATACATATAATTTCTATGCAAGTAAGCCTATGTTGACAGTTGAGTTACGCCAATGAAGCGCCACGATGCCGGCCCTATTAACGACCGCGATAAAAGTAATCACCTACTGATACAAAGAAAGAAATAAAACGAATGCAGCTGCTTGGCAGGAAGTGCCTGTGAGGTTTTATTTTGGAATCATACAGTTGTACGGCGTCCAGGGATCACACAGTCCCGCTGGACTGAAATGCAGGACAGACAATGAAATTCATTCAAGTCAGTAAAATTGTTAAGGCTCCGGCGATCAATATCCGCAAGTGCGCTTGAGGTGTGAAAGGGCAGACGACATCCATGGACCGCTCTGCTGAATCTCTACGGAATTACAGCATGGCAAACACTGCAGAGTGGAAAATTAACGCGATTTGACGTAGTACATCACACTGTTGAATCCCAAACTGACAAACGTTAGAACACATGTTCCTTTGGACAAATACTTGTTTGGCCGACGTCCACAGGTGACTAGTTCTGGCTGCACCTCCAAAAAGGATCACATTAATTTGTCAGAAAAACACTGTAAATTGTCCTTAGCATTCGGAATACGTTTTGCTATTTGGCGGCTACACGGAACCATAACCACTGAAAACAACACACGAACAAACGTTCCAACGGTTGATGACCTTTTATGATCACTGGACTTAAAGGTCACCCGTATGGACATTAACGAGTTAAAATCTGTCTTTGTTAACAATTTTGTGATAATCGGTTCGTGCAGTAGTTTGGTGAGTTTGCGCTCCTGTCCGCTTGCTTTCCCACAGCCAATGTGGACGGTATCCGCGTTGAGAGCTCGCTCAGCATGTCAACAAAACCCTACCCGTTCATATGGGCAGAACCGACAATAATCGATGGCGTCGATTTTGCGCAGAGGGGATCATATTTCTCGCAGTTCTATAGTGTGCTGGATGACGTGCGTTCTTTTCCCTTGGCTGGTGTTGCAGCGCAATGTTTGCGTTTCTAAGTGCTGCCACTTAATCAGAGGAAGCCCATACGCCGCATACGTTGGGAACTCAATCTTGCAGACGGTAAAATCCACGGATCACCGTGTTTGTACCTGCGCAGCCTGCCCCGATGGCAACAACGTGCAGCCATCCATGCTAATGTAGCCGGCAGGAAGTTGGATGATCGACGCTCAATGAAATCGTATCCATCATTCTACCGCTTGTTGACAGTAAGGTACGAGGCAAGCGACAACTCTTTCCCATCGCTTTAGTAAATTTTATCACTTTCCCTGCTGCATCTTACCCGTGTGCAGGCGCTCACGTGATACTTGATTTCAGCCGTTTCACGTCGTTTTGCAGCTATAGTTGATTGTGCAAACTAATAAAGTATAGAAAAGAGCACGGCAGGCGAGATTTTATCGCCGGCTCAGTAAGCGCTGATTACAAAGGATACGATATCAGTATCACGTGAGCGCCTGCACACGGGTAAGATGCACCAGGGAAAGTGATAAAATTTACTAAAGCGATGGGAAAGAGTTGTCGCTTGCCTCGTACTGTACCTAGATGCGATTTTCTTGAATATCAAACCATCTTTTTGAGCGGATCGCGAAGCTGACGAACGATTTCTCCATAACATTCTTAAGAAATTCTATTTACTGTAAAATAGACAATTTATTCGAAATTTTTATTAAGTACACCCTTTAAACTTTTCTCGACAGATGTAAAATCTTTTATTCTAACATATCTGAGATATTAAAAATACACAAACGCATTTAATAATGCACGAAATATGTGACGATACACATTAATTTAACCTCTGTTCTAACAGATAATCAGTACAATTATGAGGACTGAACAGAGATATTTTTCATGTGCTCCTTTTCTTCACGATGCATTTATTAAACTGCGTCGATTGTGCTACGCATTTTAATGGCTTCCTCCGCCACGAACAGAAGGAGCAGAAGCAGCACTACATCCGCTGGATCGACTGAGCGTAAGCCAGAAATAAGGACAGCATGGACACATAATATTATTTTTACATTCATCTGTACTGTCATTACTGTATACTACTCCTGCAGTGCACTTGCAGTAGTTTACTGATGCACTTGTACTTGCATTTACACTCCACATGCCTTTGAATATTATTTTGCATGCGGCAGTTAAACTGCAGACAGTACTTTATCGATTCTTGTGAAACCTTGACTGCAACTCTTTGGTGCACAGCTGATTTAACACGATTCCATGTGATAACATTTGTAATACGTTCCCTATTTGTCAAATAAATGAAACAGTATGTCAGTTTGTGTATTAATCTTGGGAATTTGGAACCATATTAAGACATTATGGCATGTCGTGATGTGTTATTTAGTAACCGTATGCGGTTCTCTTTTGCTCTGTACAAAACAATGTTGGCTCATATTTCCAGCAAAGATAATTTGCTATTATCACCGTTATCTGCCGAATTGGCCGCTATTACGGCACACATTGGAGCGCAGGGAAAAACACGCAGTGAAATAGCGGGAGTATTGAAGCGACGGCGGATTACACACGCGAGGACGATGCGCACTACTAAGCGCGTTCGCCATAAAAAAATTACGTACAGATACTTGTAAGTTTGTGAGATATAAAAAATCTCTACATTTTTTATGCTTTATGCAGTGCTTCTGTCAATAACGTTGTTGACATTCAAACTGATCATAATCTCGACTGATAATACCTCAGTTTTTCAGAGTCGATTAAAAACTTCGAACTGTCATCTCGCTTGGGGATATTTGTTGAAGAAAGTGCTCCTGTGAACGAACATTACGTCGAACGAGCACACAATCTCGTCCAGGCAGCTTGTACACCTGTTCTATTTGCGAGTGATCCTGATAGCGCTTGGGAAAGCGTGAAAAACTTTGTAACGCTCCCAACGAAGGGAAAGGTTCCCGAAATCCCGGGGTTACCCAGAATCCCGTCGCCTATTAATTTAGTATTCGCGACTACTGCTCATTTGCAATCTAACTGGGCGAATCATTTTCCTGGTCACCAGACCGCAAAAAATGGTTTACCCTGGCTACGGGTGCCAAGATCCTGGTGGATGTGCCTCCTTAAACCTGCGGCTATACAGACCATGCAGCCTGTTTCGGAAAAGGTAATGTCGCAATATTCCCACGTGCATCATATCGCCGACGTGAAGCGAAACGAAAAACATTTTATCGCAGATATCGGTGTATTTTGATTACAGTGCGTCGGGACTTAAATCGGCAAAGCTTTTCACCGCTAAAACGTGCACTTCCTGTAGTCAAGTAACGCGGCTGTAACTCAAAGAATCCTTTAACAGCGCATCCTGCATTAAAGCATCGGGCATCATCCAGTGCCGGTTTTTGCGGTGACCACAACATCGAACTAATTGTTTTTGGTAAACTGCTTTAACGCCTTCTTTTCTAAGAAATATCTGGGTAAGGTTCGAGCACTAACAGACGGTCCGGCCGGAAGAAGCAGATTCAGGTAAGAGGGTTACAAACGCGTCCCATAAACAGGATCGTGCTTGATTGTTCATGGCATACGATGAATAAGAACGGCCGATTGGCTATGAACCTCTCTTTATTTCTTGGACTCATGGACATGATTATGCAACGATCCGTAGATGCAGGGTAACAGTCAGTGCCGCTTTCGTCGATCCCTACAACACGTAAGTACGTAACGATGAAACCTTCGGTGCGCATTTGCTTACCCGGTATTTTACAGTGTGTCAGTACTCAACAGAAAATGGCTTTCGGCAGTGCACTGTATCTGTACATAATTATGTTACCACTTATTATGCAGCATTCAGATATTAAGTTACGCAAAAACTCGAAATTTAACCACTTCCTTCCAGCTGACAGACGAGTCAGAAGTGGCAAATTCTTCCACTTCCTCATTCCACTGCAATTTTTTTCCATCTTCTTTATTCTATGTACCAATCATCATTTCTTTCCTTAAAAAAAGACTGATAAAATTTTTTAAAGTGTTTTGTTTGCAGTTAGTAAATTTTGACGGTTACAGGTACCTGTAAAGGTGTGCAGAACTCGCCTACATTCTAGAGTACCCAATGGTCAACTGCCACACGCACGGTCAGGATTCCTTCGACTTCCCCCAAAAGAATCGAGACAAGGATTTCACGAATAAAAGTTAATGTTTGACTAAGCAAAGCATTTTTACAAAAATTCGTTAAAATTTTGGAAAACAATTTTGTCAACAAAATTCCTGTAAGAACCCCGGAAATCTAGGAAACTGTGACCATGGCTCACCGTAAACGGCTGTCTGCACCATGGTCGAAATCTTTAAAGGTGACAGTGTGCTTATTCCGGACAAGTCAGCCTCGTCGGAAAACACGGTCGGCATTCCCATTTCCGCGAGAACTTTGTCGACCGCCATGGTGCACTTCAAGGAGAATTTCGGGATCTCCACTGTTACGACATGGGCTAGCTCCATTTTCTCGATTTCCCGGAGTAAGATTTCGGGTGTCAACAATTTTTCCACATGGCGTAGCCTGTTTTTGCGCAGTGGACAGGAGAACCAGTGTCTCTTGCCAGGGAGGATGAAATAGGCGGTGCAATGATCTCCCACGTACGGCAGTTCCAGAATTTTGGCGCCGTGCAGCTTCCAGCTTTTGCGATATCGGCATAATCGAGTGAACCTTCCGTGCATAGTGTCCACCAGGATCTTGGCACCCGTAGCCAGGGTAAACCATTTCTTGGTGGTCTGGTGGCCAGGAAAATGATTCGCCCAGTTAGATTGCAAATGAGCAGTAGTCGCGAATGCTAAATTAAAAGCCGACGGGATTCTGGGTAACCCCGGGATTTCGGGAACCCTTCCTTTCGTTGGGAACGTTACAAAGTTTTTCACGCTTTCCCAAGCGCTATCAGGATCACTCGCAAATGGAACAGGTGTACAAGCTGCCTGGACGAGATTGTGTGCTCGTTCGACGTAATGTTCGTTCACAGGAGCACTTTCTTCAACAAATATCCCCAAGCGAGATGACAGTTCGAAGTTTTTAATCGACTCTGAAAAACTGAGGTATTATCAGTCGAGATTATGATCAGTTTGAATGTCAACAACGTTATTGACAGAAGCACTGCATAAAGCATAAAAAATGTAGAGATTTTTTATATCTCACAAACTTACAAGTATCTGTACGTAATTTTTTATGGCGAACGCGCGCTTAGTAGTGCGCGCTTTCGCTGTCGCATCTTACTTTCTGGTTTGAACGTGATTTCCGTGATATCATCGCAGACGAGCGAGATCTCTTCAGCGTCATCGAGGATGTACATGAACCCTCTGCCTTCAATTTCATCGCAGAGAAACGTGATTCCCCGGGCTTCATCGCGGCTAATTTGCGTTAAACAGCCAGCAACGTCCTCGACTGTGTAATCCGCCGTCAAGCCTAATACTCCCGCTATTTCACTGCGTGTTTTTCCCTGCGCTCCAATGTGTGCCGTAATAGCGGCCAATTCGGCCGATAACGGTGATAATAGCAAATTATCTTTGCGGGAAATATGGGCCAACATTGTTTTGTACAGAGCAAGTGAGAAGCGCAGACGATTATTAAGTAACAGATCTTGGCATGCCATAATGTTTTAATATCGTTCCAAAATTTACAAAATTAATACGTATGCAAACTGATAAGTTATTTTATTTATGTGACAAACAGAGGAACTTATCACATGAGAATCTGATATGATGGGATCGTGTGAAATCAGCTGCACCCTAAAGAGCTGCAGTAAAGGTTTCACAAAAATCGATAAAGTACTGTATGATGTTTTCCTGCCGCATGCAAATATTCAAGGCATGTGGAGCATAAATGCAAGTACAGTAAGAGTGCATCAGTAAACTATTGCAAATGCAATATATCTGTACAGTGCAGATGAATGAAAAATTAATAATATGTGTGTCTATGCTGTCTTTATTTTAAACTTACGCTCAGTCGATCCAGCGGATGTAGTGCTGCTTCCGCTCCTTCTTCTTAGATTCGTGGCGAAGAATGCCATAAAAATGCGTAGCACAATCGACGTAGCTTAATAAATGCATCATGAAAAAAAGGAGCACATGAAAAATAGCTCTGTTCAGTCCTCATAGTTGTATTGATTATCTGTAGAACAGAGGTTAAAATAATGTTTATCGTCGCATAATTCGTGCATTATTAAATGCGTTTTTGTATTTTTAACTTCCCGAAGGTGTTCAGAATAAAATATTTTACATCCGTCGAGAAAGGTTTAGAGGTGTGTACTTAATAAAAATTTCGAATAAATTGTCTATTTTAAGTAGAATTTCTTAAGAATGTTATGGAGAAATCGCTTCGCGCTCCGCGCAAAAAGATGGTTACATATTCAAAGAAATCGCATCTAGGTACTTTCTGTGGACCTGCGGCAGAATAATGGGTACGATTTCATTGAAAGTCCATCATCCAGCTTCCTGCCGGCTACATTAGCATGGATGGCTGCACGTTGTTGCCATCGGGGCAGGCTGCGCAGGTACAAACACGGTGATCCGTGGATTTTACCGTCTGCAAGATTGAATTTGCCAACGTATGAGGCGCATGGGCTTCCTCTGATTAAGTGGCAGCACTTCAAAATGCAAATATTGCGCTGCAACACCAGCCAAGGGAAAAGAACGCACGTTATCCAGCAAACTATAGAACTGCGAGAAATATAATCCCCTCTGCGCAGAATCGACGCCATCGATCATTTTCGGTTCTGCCCAGATGAACGGGTAGGGTTTTGTTGACATGCTGAGCGAGCTCCCAACGCGGATACCGTCCACATTGGCTGTTGGAAAGCAAGCGGACAAGAGCGCAAACTCACTAAACTACTGCACGAACCGATTATCCCAAAATTCTTAACAAAGGCAGATTTTAGCTCGTTAATGTCCATACGTGTGACCTCTAAGTCCAGTGATCATAAAAGGTCATCAACCGTTGGAACGTTTGTTCGTGTGTTGTTTTCAGTGGTTACGGTTCCGTGTAGCCGCCAAATAGTAAACGGTATTCCGAATGCTAAGGCCAATTTTACAGTGTTTTTCCGACAACTGTGAACCTTTTTGGAGGTGCAGCCAGAACTAGTCACCTTTTGGAAGTCGGCCAAACAAGTATCTGCCCAAAAGAACATATGTTCTAACGTTTGTCAGTTTGGGATTCAACAGTGTGATGTACTACGTCAAATCGCGTTAATTTTCCACTCTACAGTGTTTGCCATGTTGTTATTCCGTAGAGATTCAGCAGAGTGGTTCATGGATGTCGTCTGCCCTTTCACACCTCAAGCGCACTTGCGGATATTGATCGCCGGAGCCTTAATAATTTTACTGGCTTGAATGAATTTCATTATCTGTCCTGCATTTCAATCCAGCGGAACTATTTGAACCCTGGACGCCGTACAACTGTATGATTCCAAAATAAAACCTCACAGGCACTTCCTGCCAAGCAGCTGCATTCGATTTATCTCTATCTTTATATCAGTAGGCGACTACTTTTATTGCGGTCGCAAATAGGGCCGGCATCATGGCGCTTCATTGGCTTAACTCAACATGGGCTTACTTGGATAGAAATTATATATACATAGAAAGAGCGTTACGCATACTTGAAGTATCGCTCTTGCAACGATGGCACTGCTCCACTGGGCGACGGGAACTGGATCTGAGCATTGAATAGCGGGTGACCTGGTAAAGACTAGGTTTATAAGGGTACCGGCCTGTATTGACTTACCCACTACCTGGCCACTTGGGAATTCTGACTTGTTTTGCATATTCCGTCTGGCAAGACGGAATTCGCAATACAAATCGGAATACTGCTTAGCACGTGATCGATCAGCCGTGTGATGGGCACTAATTGAGCGTTGACAGGTACCAGAAGGTCTACTTTGGGCGTTCAGCGTTCAAAGGTTTGGAGTTGACTATCAAAACAACAGGAAATATGAAATCAGGTACGCGGAATCTCCTTTTGTTCTCCCTTTTGTTTGGGTAGCCACCCGTCGTACACTGCCTCCAACAACAGAGAGTACAATCCTTACTGGTTGATTCGACTTCTCTCCAGGATGGCGCCCTGTAGCGGTTGGGTGCCGTGACTGGCTTACAAACAGTTCTGTCTGCTATCATAAGCTGAAGTCTATGTTAATTTATTCATCCTGCGTTCAAACTTTTTTGCCACTGCCATCGATTCATACGCCGTGATGTTCTCGTAGGCCCGTAAAAACAAGTGCTTTTCCCGGCATTTTTTTCACAGCGCGCGTTCGCAGACTTTGTTGTTTGTTAATTGGCTAGACACATGAAAACAGAAAAACATTCTCTGCAAACGAGGCAAAATATTTACAGTATCCTTAAATTAAGCGGCAGTGCTTTGACCACGGTATTACACCACCACGCATATGACAGCACACACGAGCAGAAACAGAGCGAATGCGTTGTTCTCTTGTTGTCGCACCGTAAAATCCCTGTTTGTTGGTGACGTCGGAAGGGCAACTGCTATTTTGCAATTCCGGTGAGAATAGTGCATTGGCGCTTCTCGAAAGTTACGCCAGTTGTTTAAAAAATCTATCTGGATTCTGGCCAATCGGATAGCTCTGAACCATTGAGAGGATCCTTATGTTTGAGCCACTTGATTGCAACTTCTTAAAATAATACTCGTAGCCTATTTAGCTACTACAGAAATTGTACGCCTTTTATAAAATTGCTTTGAGTTCCTTCTTTTGTGATGATTATATTAAACTTTGTGCATTAACTGAAGCGGTTCTCCTTCGCTCAAATATTATTAAATTAAAAGGAACGGTAAATTACTTATAAATAAACAGGAAAATTATTAATCATAACCAAATTTTTCATCCAAAATAAATTCAACAAAGTAAAACAAATCAACAACAATCAACAAAACCCAAATCAACAAAACCAAATTTTTTAATCAACAAAATAAAAAGAAATTTGAAATTTTTTTAGCGGCATATACCTACAGAAGAAAACAATTTCTGTAAGACTGTAACAATATTGACAATATGCAAGAACTTGCAAAGAATGTGGAATACTGTGTATACGGGCAATAACGGGCATATGGAATCATTTTTTTCAAGCCACCGCACTACGCCTGTGTGTACCATAGCGTTAGGCGCATGAATGACCCAGCGATAGCGCTCTTGCGCGTGGACGATCTTCTGCGGATAGAACGGCGAGGTGAGGATCGACGCCGCTCTCCTGTTGCAAATACTGCGTCAATTGCGTCGCACTTTGCCCTATATTACACAACACATAAACTACTAAACCGCATCGCGCACTACCACATTTCCGGCGAAATAACATTATTTAAAATAAATTGATGCAGAATAGCCTAGAAATATGGAAAAAAGAAAGAATATAATAGAAGTCAACGTCGAATACGCAAATTATTTAAAATAAAAAAAATACGCCAAACAATAATACAGAAAATAAAATAATAAAAAATACAACAATAAATTCAACAATATAAAACAAATGCTATGAGAATTAATAATAGTACTCGTATAAAATATACAGAATAAATGTTAGAATAAAATAATATGGGGTGTCTTTATTTACAGATATACAGCCTGGCACCGCCAAGTTCGGACAGTTTTTTTCAGAAAATTACTGCCAGGGATGAGGGATCCGTCAACATATACGACCCTATTTAATATTTTCTTGGTTTCCTGATGTGTCTCGCATCTTTTGCAGTCGAACTTTTTAGAATAAGATCGCGCTTTGAATTTTGGGGAGCGATAATCCAAACCAGACTAGTCTAAAAAAGCGGCCCGACCCATCTACCGCGGTAGTCTTGGTCTCATTTAAAATTTTAAAAATTCTGTTGATGCTATAGTCCAAAAGCAGTTATTCTATGATGTTGGCCATTTAATGCTCTTCAGGAATATCCTAGACCCTTACCGATTTCGATCAAGCCTATGTGACCTTTGCAGTGCGACTGCGGTACTATCGAATCAGAGGACTGCTTTCATTTGCACACTCGCCGCGCAGCCACGAGGTGTCGGAAATAGCCACTTTTAGAATGATCTTGTTCAGAAGACACTGATCGTCATTTTAAGCTACTTCATTCACAGGATAAGCTCGTTACGTTCACCCTCCTCGTTACGTTCTTTACGTTCACCCTCCGCTGCTGTTCGAAGGAGGGTAGGTACAAAGTGGTCCAAATCTAATTTTAAAACTATTAAAACTAATAAAACCAAGCGTTTTAATTAATAAATACATCGGATCGACAGTGATTTCTCAAAAAGCGGTTTTAAGGTTTTAATGGTTTTTACTAATATATAGTTTTGATAGTGATTTTTCGGAAAGCGGTTTTAAGGTTTTAGCAGTTTTATTACTAAATTACAGTTTTATCAGTGATTTCTCAGAAAGCGGTTTTAAGGTTTTAGTGGTATTATTACCATTATACAGTTTTAGCAGTGATTTTTCAAAAAGCGGTTTTAAGGTTTTAGCAGTTTTTACTGACATTTAGTTTTGATAGTGATTTTCTGGAAAGCGGTTTTAAGGTTTTAGCAGTTTTTACTACAGTTTTATCAGTGATTTTTAAAAAAGAGGTTTTAAGGTGTAAGTGGTTTATTACTATTATACAGTTTTAGCAGCGATTTTTCAAAAAACGGTTTTAAGGTTTTAGTAGTTTTATTACTAAACAACAGTTTTATCAGTGATTTCTCAGAAAACGGTTTTAAGGTTTTAGTGGTTTTATTACTATTATACAGTTTTAGCAGTGATTTCTCAGAAGGCAGTTTTAAGGTTTTAGTG